TTTCTGTACTTATTTATATAACTTTGAATGAATTAACGTTTTTAAATTTAGTATCATCATAGAAAATGAGAATAAAATTAACTATATGCAGTTGTGAAAGGATTAAACAGGATTTATTATACATACATAGTATGATGAAATTATTGAAAAAAGAGTGCATGGATGTGTTTGTGAATTTTAATTATTGTTTATGCTCAAAAGCTAATGAATTTTACTAGTGACTATTATAATTATAGACAAAAAGACAATTGTTGTAGGTTATAGAGGTCATATTTTGAGTCCTGGACTTAACAGGTTCAATCATAATATCCATGGTATGTGATTTCATAAAGAATGTGGTTAGATAACTTAACATTTACAAGCCTTCTAGGAAAAATTAGGCAGAAAACAGAAATACTTGAAATAAAACTGTAAAATACATTTCACTATCTAAACTATATTATAAAATATCCTTTACAATATGGCAATCATTTCAAAACCTCCTAAAGAGCTCACTAACAGCAGCAGGCATTAGAATCTGTTCACAGGTATTAGTCTGGTTGAATGTACACTAATTAAATTGACTGAGTTTGTGAAGTGATGTTAAGGCAGTTCTAGAGGAGCGTGGTAGCTTTCCTTTAAATCAACATATGAATTACTACCATATTGGCTTCTACAGAAAATAGATTATATTCTCAGTTGGTTGTAAAATCTAAATTTGCTTTAATATCCTGCTCTATTTGCCAAATAAATACTTATTCACTTGAGAATATGTTACGTAATAACCATAAACCTAAAGATGTATGCAGTACTGGAAAGTCTTTTTCCAGTTTGTGTGACAGACTCCTCTTTGCTTGTAAATGTGTCATTTTGTGTCTGAAAGAAATTTGCTTAAAAGAACATATAATACAGAGATGAGTAAATATTATCTGAAGAGCTAAACTACATCACTATTTAAAGAGTTATACTCCTACTCAAATATTTAATAAAAACTTTTCTCTGTTGTTTACATTTAACTATTTCAAGAAAGCAATAGACAGACATGCTTGAAATAGTTTTATTTATTTAGATAAAATGATGTTTGGTTATATTTATAACTTTTCAAATCATTTATTGCAGCTAAGTGTGGCAGTTACTCTGTTTCATTCAGATTCATTTCTTCAAGTGATCATACATTAATTTAATGAAAATACCAAAGATTAAATGTGAACTGATAGAAAGTGATAAGTATGTTTTTTTATAAGATCCTTTACCAAATATCTTTTGCAAACTGAAAGCTTCGTCTTATGTTAGTGACTTGGGAAAATTCCTTAATCAAAGTTGCTTTATCATTACTTAGAAGGGTCAGACAAAGGTCAAGGAATTCTAGTTTGTTTTATTTTAAACTTACTCTTACTTTCTACATCACTATATCTGCTGTGATGTTTATATATTGCCTGTGCATAAAGAATAAGTTAAGTTATGAAATATAAGGCATTATATAAGTTAGAATAGAATCACATCCTTGAGGAAATATGACAGAACTAAGGAGATACATATTCTAAAACATCACTAGTTTCTGATTAGCCACAGGTAATATCCCTTTTTATCTTATTGAAACCATTTCTTGAAAAAAATAGTAAGAATCCCTTATTTCCTTTTTAAAAACCTTAGTCACCGCTTTGGAATTCCTAAAATGTTCTTAGACTGACATGAAAAGTTTCTGTGCATCCTTTATCCAGATTTGTAAATATTCCCTTTAACCAAATTTGTTTCCTCTTCCTCTTCTTCTCCTTTTAATAAATGTTATATTTCTCTCTCTAAAATCAATATATTAGCATATAATATATATATATTTAAATTTTGATCTGTACATCTTCAACATGATCTGGAATTATCTTTGTGAGAAGTCTATGGATTCAATTTCTTCAATAAATGTATTTTTATGCTTTTTATATGTTTTATTCTATGTGCTTTCATGTCTTAGTAGTTTACTATTTTGTGTTTTAATATGAATTTGTCTTTGCTGTTTAAATTGTTATGCTTATTGGGATTATATTGTTCATAAAATCCCTTGAAATCTTAATGATTTTGCAGTCTGTATTGATATTTCCTTTTTTATCCTCCTAATTGACAATTTTTGTTTTTTAAAATTTTTTTTCTCAGTCTTGCAAGTTTTAATCAATCCTGTCAATGGTCAATATTTTTTAAAAATCAACTTTTGGCTTTGCATATTTTTTCTATTTTTTGTCTGATTTATAGCTATTGATCTCTGCTCTTTAATGATTGTTTCTTTTGTTTATACATGGTTTTATTTTTTTTTCTTATATAGATTTTTCAGGTTTCCAACTTAGCTAATTAATGTAAAACCATGTTTTCACTCTAATATATACAGTATGAATTTTGATCTTTTATAACAATTTAAATACACTCATTTTTATTCAATGAGTTGTTAGTTTTTCTTTTTTTATGAAAAAATTTTTAATTAAAATGTATAAGGTTAATTAAAAGCATTTCACCTCCACCTCATGGCATTTTGTTATTTCTTGCTTTTTAAACTACCATATTATTGTTTTCCTGGGGATACATTGTGATATTTACTAATTTTCTTATACTATATCATAGTTGAATTCACCCTCTCTGCCATTCTCCTTTATCCTCCATCCCTGCATTTCTGGAATAGTTTCAAAAGGTTTCATTGTTTCCTTTTATTTGTTTCTTTGTATTCACACAATTATGGTGCTATTATTTTTAAAATATGATTTTAGCTTATGGGTTTATTATTCATGGTACAATGATGGTTTCTCATGATCTTCTATATCCATATCCTATGTACTATTTATAAAGACATTAAAATATACCAAAATATTTTGTACTTTCCTATAAATATGCCATGTCTGTTGCTCTTTATCCATTTATGAAAATTTAAGTTTCTTCCATTAGCATACTTTTCCTTTTGTCTAAAAAGAATATATTTCATTTATATTTTCCTACAGTTTTATTTATTTATTTTGGCTTGAACTATGGGCGTCACATCTGTGAGGTAGTGCTCTACGAGTTGAGCTACCCCTTCAGCTCCTTTATTTAGTTCTTATACCTCATTTTCTTAATCTGTTGGCAAGTAGTTGCTCAGTTTTTTCTCTAATAATGTTTAAGTGTTTTATAAAAATACAATCTTACCCATGATTTAATGTTTCCCTTTTTCTTCCAGCACTTTTTAGATGTTTTTATTTTCCCTCTTGATTTAAGAGTGAGGAGTGAGTAGTTACTTTTATTTTGTCCACCTTACCTTGTAATCTGTTTCATTGCTGTGACTTCTGCTAAAGTTTTCTTTGGTTTTTTTTTTGCAATTTAATTATGATGATCTTAATACGGGTTCTTGGTGTTGAACTTGAAGTTGCAGGTTTTTAAAATCATGTTTGAAATATATTTGCCTTTATTTCTTCAATATATTTCTGCTTTGTTAGCTTGTTTTGATACCCTAATTATATTTATGTTTGACTTAATATTATTCCACAGGTCACAGGGTGTTTGGTTCACTTTTCTGTCATGTGCATTTTAAAATCCATGCTTTAGAAGCTCACTATCTACTGCCCAACTCCATCCATATAAATTGGAAGCTCTTTTCTTTTTTATGATAATTCTCTTCTCCTTGATATTCTACCCATCTTATAAGTCACCTGAAAGACTCCTCACTCTAATCTGTCTCTTCAATTAAACAGACTATTCATGTTTTGCCTTGTTTTTCTTCCTTGAGCTGTTCTATAAAAAGTGTCTCCTAGAGAAAATACAGAATTCAATCCTTTTTTGATTCACTAGCTCAATGATCAAAGTTCTGTGGTTAATCATATACAATGTCTGAGACATGCTGCTTTATATATTTTTATAAGGAAATTTTTTGGCATACTATGTAAAAGCTAGTTCAATATTAGTTATTGTGTCATGAATAGAAGATTTTTGAGAATTATTATTTCTATTATAGTTATGACATTTAATATCACACAATAATTTAACATAGGAGAACTTATTTTATTTAGAAAACTGTGTAATATTTTCAGAGAAAACTAGATTTCTTACTTATATTCAACTAACAATTTGGGTGATTTTGTACAGCTATTTTTTCTCCTGATGTTAAAAACTTCATGTAATGTATAGAAACTTTAAACATTTATGTTGCCACTTTTATTTTTGAGAATTAATTTCAATAGCAAACACTCAAAACCAACATTGGAAATGAAATTGCTAAATTATTTACTATATTTTAAATTAAATTTGAATGAATAAAAGTTTGTTATGATTTTAAGGTAAGAAAAACAGTGTATATGTTTTTGCACTTACTGTTGAACATTTTGATACTATTTTACAAAAATTACTTTTATAAAAAGTCCATATTTATAGCTAATAAAATTTTCTGATATTTAGGAACTTGAAGATTTTGTGATGAATTTTCAATTTATTATTTTTAAGACTAAGATCTTGCATTTTTCAGTCAAGAGGTCATGATAATAATGATTAATATTAAATCAAGAGTTAATTACCCTCAGAGTATGCTGTAATCTTAATTCAATGGCAAATTGTATTTTATTGTTTCTATATAAGTTATTGAATTGAGCTACTTGCAAGTCATTAAGTATGCATCGAATATTTGAACTTACTTGTACATTAAAAAATCCCCTTCTGGATTTAGGAGATTTTTTTGACCCTACAGCTTTCTAGTCTGGGCTGGACGTCTGCTTTGTGCACCTCTGGGATACCACAGACATATTTCAAAAATGGTGCTTATTCACAGAATTCGTGTAATCTTTTGACTTCTTTGTGTTTCCCATTTGACCTTAACTCCTATGTGACTGCAAATGTCATATAATTCACCCTTAGTTTCCATTACAGCTTCTTGTACAAAATAGATATTTAATAATCATTCATGAAATAAGCCAATGAAATTATTTTTATATCCCAATTTGCATAAGAATACTACTTTTATCAGAATATAAACATTCATAAATGTATTTGAAAACTAACACTGGATTTTGTATCTTCTTTTGCAGGCTCTTAAATCTGATCTACAATGGAAAAATTCCTTTTTTACCTGTTTTTCATTGGCATCGCAGTGAAAGCTCAAATCTGTCCAAAACGTTGTGTCTGCCAGATTTTGTCTCCTAATCTTGCAACCCTTTGTGCCAAGAAAGGGCTTCTATTTGTTCCACCAAACATTGACAGAAGAACTGTGGAACTGCGGTTAGCAGACAATTTTGTAACAAATATCAAAAGGAAAGATTTTGCCAATATGACCAGCTTGGTGGACCTGACTCTATCCAGGAATACAATAAGTTTTATTACACCCCATGCTTTTGCTGATCTACGAAATTTGAGGGCTTTGCATTTGAATAGCAACAGATTGACTAAAATCACAAATGATATGTTCAGTGGGCTTTCCAATCTCCATCATTTGATATTGAACAATAATCAGCTGACTTTAATTTCTTCTACAGCATTTGATGATGTCTTTGCCTTGGAGGAGCTGGATCTGTCCTATAACAATCTGGAAACAATTCCTTGGGATGCTGTTGAGAAGATGGTTAGTTTGCATACCCTTAGTTTGGACCACAATATGATTGATAACATTCCTAAGGGAACTTTCTCCCACTTGCACAAGATGACTCGGCTAGATGTAACATCAAATAAGTTGCAGAAGCTACCACCTGACCCTCTCTTTCAGCGAGCTCAGGTACTAGCAACCTCAGGAATCATAAGCCCGTCTACTTTTGCATTGAGTTTTGGTGGAAACCCCTTGCATTGCAATTGTGAGTTGTTGTGGTTGAGACGTCTGTCCAGAGAAGATGACCTAGAAACCTGTGCATCTCCAGCACTTTTAACTGGACGCTATTTTTGGTCAATTCCTGAGGAAGAGTTTTTGTGTGAGCCTCCCCTCATCACTCGTCACACACATGAGATGAGAGTCCTGGAGGGTCAAAGGGCAACACTGAGGTGCAAAGCGAGGGGAGATCCTGAGCCTGCAATTCACTGGATTTCTCCTGAAGGGAAGCTTATTTCAAATGCAACAAGATCTCTGGTATATGATAATGGAACACTTGACATTCTTATAACAACTGTAAAGGATACGGGTGGTTTTACCTGTATTGCTTCCAATCCTGCAGGAGAAGCAACACAAACAGTAGATCTTCATATAATTAAGCTTCCCCACCTTTTAAACAGTACAAACCATATCCATGAACCTGATCCTGGCTCTTCAGATATCTCAACTTCTACTAAGTCAGGTTCTAATGCAAGCAGCAGTAATGGTGATACTAAAATTAGTCAAGATAAAATTGTGGTGGCAGAAGCAACTTCGTCAACAGCACTACTTAAATTTAATTTTCAAAGAAATATTCCTGGCATACGTATGTTTCAAATCCAATACAATGGTACTTATGATGACACCCTTGTTTACAGGTAAGAAAAAAATTAAGCAAATTTATATCCTTATTGTTTATATATATGTAAGGCCTGTTTAATGTATTACTGATTTTTTTAATTAAATTGACAATGCTAATCTGTGTTGTAATTATACTACTCCAATATTAAAGTACATACGGTACTACTTACAAAAGTAGAAATATTTTGAAAGAATTTGGTTTAAAGAATTCAAATTTATATTTAGTGTTATGCTTACTTTTTTCACCTTATCTAAGAGATGTGACTATCAGAGAACAAGACTGATTTAATTTAAAAATTCAAAAACATACCAGAACTTACACATCCACATGAGTGTTCTTTCCTTCAAGGAAGTCATGTTGGGAGACTATACCATTATCCCAGTGATGCTGCCATTGCTCAAAGCACTTTTGGAATTATCTTTAGAACCTTCGTCATACTATTTTGAATATCCTCAGTGGTGGCAAATCTTCGTCTTTTGAGGGTGAATTGAATTTTGGAAACAAGCAAAAGCCTTTTGGAGTCAAGTCTTGTGAATAAGGTGGGTGATCAAGATGGGTATTACCATTTTTGGTCAAAAATAGGATGTAACTATAAAATAATGAGACTGATTCTTTGAGTGATTGCATTATGTGCATGTGTGTCTCATGTGCACTGGTTCTTCAGGCACTTCCAAAGAGAAAGTTTATAAATATTTTGAGCAGTGAAAGTATCACTGGACTTAAGTATGTAATTTCTGGGTAAGGACAATGATGGAGAACTTGCATCTGCTAATGAATTTCTGGTATGTTTTTCTAAAGTTCAGCCTCATTGATTTATAGTCACATCTTGTCCAATATTTAGCTGGAAGCACACATTTTTTACTAATTCATATAATATTACTCATGATAGATTATTATTGCCCCTACAAAATGATGCAAAATCGTGGTTTTTAAATTTTTATTGTTGTTTTTATGCTTTGTAGAAATCATGTCACATTAGTTCTTATATGCACAGGTTGAATTCTTAGAGATAATTTGATTTTTATTCATGGATGGAAATGAGAGTAATTTTTAAAAATAAGCATGAGTAGCAGGAAAAATAATACTACCTTAGCTAGACATATGATCAATCCTGGACAAGGTTCTACCTGGCTGCATTTTAATTTCCTCATCTTTAAAAGGAAGAAATTAGACTAAGTGGTTTCTAATAGCTCTCTCATCACTAAATGGATGCAGAAGTAGACCGTGATACATGCATATTAGCAATAATATAGTTTACTCTTATCATAACAGGTTCTTCATCTACTTTATAGACTAACCAATTTTGAATGAAAGGCAATGATTTCTACCCTCAGCTCCCCATAGAAACTGGACATTCTATATATTTTAAGCATTAGTTTGAATGTCAGGTTTTATTTACTAAATTCCCAGGTTATAATCCTGGCCTGATGAGAACATTTTGTGTGACCTTGAGTAAATTGCTTGAATCCCTGAATTTGATGATAGTCATCTGTAAGATAGTGATCATACCTATCTCATGAGGTCATTATAAAGGTTAAACTTTACTGTAAACTGCTTAATAAAGGGCAGTTTATCGTACACACACTACATTGCCATAATTTTAATCAAGAATATATACCCTTGCTTGAATGTTTCCTGGTACATTGAGATCATGCTGGTTAGGCTCTACCTCAGATTAGTGTTGCCAAGTTTTGAAATTGCTAAAACCCACTTTCAGGAAAATCTATACTCATAAGCCTTTTTTTCTAAGTCAATTTTAATTCAAGTCATTTAAGTACAATTTAGGAAAAAAAGTTAGTGGAAATAGACATTCACAAAACTTTTACATGTAATGAAGTCAGAGATATCTATAAATTTTTATCAAAACTTATAAAAAGTGCTCTGATGAAATTTTTCTTCAATGCATAATGGTTGAGGGAGTTATAGTCTGGTCAACAGACTGGCTTTGTTTGCTGTGTTTTCAAATATACTCATGCATGTGTATTGTCCTCACTTATACATTAAAACATATTGGGTAACAGGGAAAAAGAGAGGGATGATAATGGCAAGTAAAAATAATCTTTGTAATGGTCTTAGTTGTAAAAGATAGATTTAGTGGTTACCATTCCATAGCAACTTGTTACTTATTTGGAAAATGAACTCTGAATTGCATTTCCATTCTGATTTTAATGTGATTGCCAGTGTTTTCTCTTTCTTCAAATTGGTTTTTAGTCACAGAGGTGTTGTAAGTGCTAAATGGATTTGTTTAGTAGTCACATAATGTCCAGTCACACCTTTCAAAAGTAATTTGTCATAAATGATTTTTTAGTGGCTTTTATTAGGAGTTCTGCTTTGCCAAGCAATGTAATTAGTAAGCTTGTCAAGGCCTGGTTCAGACACCATTATTATAATGCAGATTGTTTAGCCACTGTAACTGCATAAGTAGAGATTAGAAAATTTCTCATATTGTATATCTGATATAAATGTACTTAGTGAATAATGAATGAGACAGAACCAAAATTATAATGACTGTATATTTTGTTTTAATATTAACACAAATTCCATTGTCCCTCAGAATGATACCTCCTACAAGCAAAACTTTTCTGGTCAATAATCTGGCTGCTGGAACTGTGTATGACTTGTGTGTCTTGGCCATCTATGACGATGGTATCACTTCCCTCACTGCCACAAGAGTCGTGGGTTGCATCCAGTTTACTACGGAGCAGGATTATGTCCGTTGCCATTTCATGCAGTCCCAGTTTTTGGGAGGCACCATGATTATAATTATTGGTGGCATAATTGTAGCATCTGTGCTGGTTTTCATCATCATTCTAATGATCCGGTATAAGGTTTGTAACAATAACGGACAGCATAAGGTCACCAAGGTTAGCAATGTTTATTCTCAAACAAATGGGGCTCAAATACAAGGCTGCAGTATAACACTGCCACAGTCCGTGTCCAAACAAGCTGTGGGACATGAAGAGAGTGCCCAGTGTTGTAAAGTTGCCAGTGACAATGTGATCCAGTCTTCAGAAACTTGCTCAAGTCAGGACTCTTCTACGACTACCTCTGCTTTGCCTCCTACCTGGACTTCAAGCACGTCTGTGTCCCAAAAGCAGAAAAGAAAGACTGGCACAAAGCCAAGTACCGAACCACAGAATGAAGCTATCACAAATGTTGAGTCCCAAAATACTAACAGGAACAACTCAACTGCACTGCAGTTAGCTAGCCGACCTCCTGATTCTGTCACAGAGGGGCCCACATCTAAAAGAGCACAGACCAAGCCAAGTAAGTGTCTCTCTGCGCCTGCTGAAAGATCCAGAGCCAGGCACAGGTATTCTCTGAATGGGAAATTAAAGGAATACTATTGTTATGGTAACTCACAGAACACATGTGAACTATTTCCTAAAAGAAGCATATCCCTGAATGTGATGTTAATTCAGTCCTACATTTCTGATGGTCGTAGTAGAAAAACAACTCTTTCAAATTCTGAGTGGATATTGGAAAGCTTTGTGTAATCTGCTATTTCTTCTAAATGAAAAATCATTTTGAAGTTTCACGTTGCAAATTGAAATTTAGAATTGGAATTATTCTCGTTGATTCATGGACAATAGAACTTAGATTGTGCATAAACGTAGTATATACTGAGGGTATAGTTAACGATACATATATATGTGTACATATATGCATATATGTATAATATGTACATATATACATATATATATTTGCACATAGATGTGTGTGTATATATATACATATATATATGGGTAACAGAAATAAAATGATTTAATAGGGGAAAAATGCGTAAGCTAACGGCAATGCCTTCCCCTATTCTAAGACAGGCTTCCAGTTTCTACAACTACAAATAACAAAATTAAAGTTGTCATATGAAAAAAAATCTTGCATAAAAATGATATTTCTTCCAGTTTTAAAAGGTTCACATATTGATAATTGACATTTTTCAGTGAGTGTGCTCTACATTTTAAAAAATCAATTGTGTTAGTGAATAACTCTGTATTATGATGTTATTTAAAATAAAATATTCAATTAGGATACCCAGTCAAGGCTAAAATAAGTAGCCTTCAAAACAGCATTATTGGTTCAGGTGCCTTAATGGCTTTAAGATATTTCTCTTCCATAACACAGTCTTGTCAGTAGAAAAGAATAAAATGCAACTCATTTTGCATTTATCAAAAATGCAGTCAGTTTTGCATCACAGGCCATGTGCATGTGCATGTGCATGGACATATGACTGTGTTTGCATTCATTCAACACACATATGCAGACTGGATGTGTTTTACATTCTGCCAATGCAAGTTAAAAAGGGAGAAAAAAAACCCCACATACCTACCTTTATTAAAAGGGTGTTTATTTTTATCACAAAGTGAAGTAGCAAAAGAACACATCTAGTGAAGTTTTTATCGCATTTGTAAACGATATAAAGCCATTGCTCATTAACCAGATTGGTGGTATTTTTCCCTTCTGTGCTATAATTTTGCATCTGAATGATTGTGTCTTAAAGTAAATGCATTTATTTTTTAACCAAAGAGTGTGATAAATTTAATCAGAAATCATGCAGCTTAGTTGGAAATATACCTTTTTGAAAAGGGATTTTAAAGTCAACCATAAGGTTCCTTTATATTAAAAATTCTTGGAGGTTTCTAAATCAAAATATAAAGATAAATTCTATCTGCTTTGTTTTAACTTTAAAAGTATAATAACATGATGATAATTGTAGAGCTATGCGTAGTATTATCTTGTAGATTTTGTTTTGCTTTGCTTTTTGTTTTATTTTTATTTTAAGATAACAGCTCATGTGAAAACTTAGACCCATTTACTGGCACAAATGAACATGATATTTTAACTGTACCATAATAAGTGGGCACTTTATGTATGTCAAGCACTCCTTGGAAGGAATGTAAACACACAGAGAATGCTAACTCTTCAGATCACTTGAAAGACTATTTAAATCAGAAGTTGAAAATGTCAGCTCATTGGCTTGATTTCCCTCTACTGCAGACACAAATAAAAAATCAGTTAATTTTAAGTCAGCAGTGGTACATCTTATCACACATGACTTATTGAGACGCCATTCAAGAGAGGGTCAATGTGAAGCAGTTAGAGATGACCTTAGAACCAATCTTGAGAAATTGAAAGTCTAGTGAGTGTTCATCATGTTCCCTACATCCCTTTTCTTCTCTGCTTCCTTACTAAAAGTTTGCCTTTTCTATTTGCAGTTCACTCATCCTTCTTTATTCATCTATATAGTTCTTTGAAGACTAAACGAGGTCACATGTTGATGTTTAAAGCACTTCTCAAAGTGAAGTGACTTTTGACGCTGTTATTTTAATAATCCTCTAATCCCAGCTACATATTTTAAATTTGTGCTGATTGACAATAGCATGGTACTCTTCCACTCACTATTTATAAGCACAATATTAAAAAAATCTTGAATGCACTAAAACTTTCAAGTCTTAAAGAAATGAATGCCTAAAGAAATGAGTTCTAGAATTACCAGGGCCAAGTTTGCCCTGAATTCATTTAATGTAGGTAACAGCATAGCGTACCTACCCCAAGCTATTCATGAACTTATATTTTTCAAATGCTTGTATTTTTGAAATGAATGTCTTGCTTATGTTTCTAATGAAACTTTGATTGCAGATCTGTTATTTCTCGTAGACATTTAAAATTCTGTGATATCTAATCATGTGAATTTTGTTTTGGTTGACTAAAGTTGTTGAAAATAACTTAAATTTTTACATTTTTGCATGGCTATTTTTAGATTGTGTTAATCAAATGCTGTAACACTTGGTCTTAGAAGTGAATTTTTGCTCTGCGTTTCTTTTAATGAGTTTATATTTTGAGAGGTAATGAACTGGACCATCAAGAGGGTCAAGTGGTTTTTACATTTGTTTGTAAGTATATGATGACAATTTTACTTAAGGAGGACAAGTAATATTACATATTATATTTTCTGAGCCAGAAGTAACTTGGATGTTAAATGAATAAGATGATATATAAATAAATGAATGGGGTCAGGAAGAGAATTAAGAGAGTTATGATATTAAGAATTTTGATTAATTTGCACAACGTAGATTTTTGGTCCAAATATTATTTTAACACATGAAAGACATTCTCTGTCTTTTCTTTATCATTTTGTCATTAATTGCATTCCTTATGTAACCAGCCATATATCTGTGATCTGAAACATATGGTTTGCTTTTGTTATTCCTGACTGCATGCATAATAGCTTCATTATTTTTATTCCTCATTCTTAAGTATTTTTTAAAATTTTTACCATTTTATATTATCAGCTTAATCGAGGTGAAGACAAATTTAAAAATACTATGCCTGCCATTAAGTGTATTTTAACACATATTTATTCCAAATGTTTTGAAAGGACTTAAATTGTTTTTGTTCATTTTGAATGACTTCCTAATTTAAAAATAACAAACTACTATTCTGGTAGTTTCATAAATGGCAGTGCAAATGCAAAGTACTTCAGAATTCTAAGAAGCAGCAACTTGCTTTGATGAGTATTATTTCCTTGGGGACTGCAAATAGAAGAATATAAAAATTGATTAAATAAAAACATTTAAATTAGATATAGTAACCAGAAGCACTAACAGTGTAGCCAATTTATTTCCCATAGTTTTTTTCAACTACTAATGGAGTCACTTGAGGTCTCATTGTACCATTTTATGCTGTGAAGCAGTTGACTTTATTAGCTTTATAGATATACTTTGCTAAAAATTGTTTAGAATATAAATTTTAAACAGTATAATAAGCAATATAGTCACATAAAAATTCCATTCTCTGAAATACACATACTTTCCCTTAAATTGCTTAAAGATTTTTTAAAAATTAAATTTCCTCTATTTTTGCCTACAGGAATCCTTTTAAAAGCACTTGTGTTAATATAGTTTTAATTATTTTATCTGCTTGTATATTTGAAGAGAAACTACTTATAAATCTAAAATAATTTAAATGTAATTATCACGTAGTTCATATCAATTAATTGCCTCCTAATTCCTAAATTTTATTATTTCCTCTTTGTTCATGTACAGCAACAAATTCTAAAAAGTAGTGTTAAATGACAACAGTAAAAAATAATTCTGTAAACATAAATCATCTTGTAGAAAAAATTGTGAAGGTAAATATGACATTTCTTTAAAGAAGACATCAAAGAGCCCATTGTCTTCTTGGATGTATGATTTCCAGCTGCATTTTACAATGTTTATAGTGCAAAGAAGCAATGTTCATTAAGATGAGACAGAATGAAGACAATCTGTTATCTTCCCACTGCCCAGTTTTTCCTTATGGTAGGAGAATGGTGCAAGTTGTCTCCCTTCCCAGGCACATTTGTGTGGGTGGGAAAGGTGCCGGGGAAAGGAGGTGGACACAATAGTGGGTTGGTGGGAAAGAATATTTCCTTTCTTTCTTAGGTTGTTAATAATAATAATTAATAATAATAATAAAATAGCAACAACAAATTGATTTATTCTCTTGATAACTATGTCATTCAATTGAGTAAAGAGGAGGTAATTATGAAAAACAACAACTGGATTTTGACAATGGTTTCAAAGCCCTGCCTTTAAGTTTCCTTCCCATGGTAGGTAAATGCTAGGATTATAAATACAGTTACTTTAGTCAGTTGTTTAATTTTTTTATTTGTTTTTCAAAGGAAATAATATTTCTTGTAGCAATATAGAAGACTACCCAAAATAAAAAGGGTGGTAAGCATATTCCTGTCATTGAGCCATCCTAAAATGTGGTGTCATTTGAAGTGGAATAGAAAATAACAGTTTGCAACTGCTAGCATGATTACATACTAAATTACTTCACGAAGGTAATGTTAATACAATTGAAATTTTATTAAATTTTTTAAAAAGTCATTATAAAAAGTAATCAGTGTACCATTGTCTTCTGGTTATAGTCTGATTATGCTTACCTATTTCAAGGTAAACATTTAGCATCTATAGTTAAATTGAATAAATATACACATTATATACATTCATATATTTTTATGCTATGTACATTATACAAAGATATACACACATGCACGTATAATTCAATTAAAATCATATTTTGCTCTGTAATGAAAATTAATAACTTTGAGGTTAGTAAAACAAAATTAGACTTAAGTGGACTGCCTGACTAACAGAAAATTTCTCCCAGGAAAACTGTTCAAGCAACACGTGGTTGATAGATTTTTACTCTCAGTAAAAATTTACTGTGTTGAATTTTATAATGATAGTGATTTCTACAACATGGTACTTTCATCCACTCTTTTCAAATTGGTAATTGTTATGTTCATGAATTTCAAAAACTAAACAAAGAACATTTTCGTATACATTTGGAAGAAAGCTTCGAAGGCCCTTTCATTGGAACCATTAGTGTTTGGAAATGGTTTCATCACTTAAACGTACTTGACATATAGTATATGTGGATACCATGACTCTGCTCCAGAACATGGCCACTAAATATTTGAATAAAGTTATGGAGTTTATGAGATGCCTTTTGCTGGCTCCATCACAATATAATTCCCTAATTATTTTTCTCTATAATATTTTTCTCTATTATTGCTTTCATGAAAATGCCAAACTCCCTACGCTTAAATTTTTGTGAATATTTGTGCTTAAAGTTTTGTTAAAAAATATTTGGCCTGGTCAACTCACACTAACCTGTGAAAACTGACGACAATACACTTAAGCATGTAGTTTTCTGTTATCCCTGTTTAATTTCTAAAGGATTAGTAGTGTTTGCTGAACAAGAACAGATTTTGCAAAGAGATGGAAAGTGTACTATGCAGAGTTATGTAATTATGTTAAACATTTCTAGGCAATTAAAATATACGTTGTTTTACATGAAAGTAAACTGATTCTTGATTGGTATTTGGAGACTGGATATGGATTGATAGTTCATATTGTAAGTGATTATTTGACACCCTGACTCAACTACATTTCCTGCTGCTGATGCCTTTCTTTTGATGTATTTTTCCATATTAACCATATCCAACTGCATAGTTGAAATGTTAATTCCGATAAGGGAAAAATAAATGAAAACATGACTTTCTTTGAACTCCAGCAACAAAAACATATTCCATATTGAAAATTACTTTACTAGAACATTTTTTAAAATTCTATTTTTATACTATTATGTTTGAGGATAGCTGTAAAGAACCATAGAGTAAAAACTCAGTTGCAATTAGCTGCCTAAGTCTTCAGTAAAAAAGTGGATGGATCTTTAATTATCTTATCAAGAGTTCAGTAAAGGGTTTTAGGGTCTGATTCTTTAAAAAAAGTGAATTGCTCATGACATTGAAAATTTTATTCTCAGATGCTTTGCTGACTAATGTTGACCAGAATGTCCAGGAAACACAGGTGAGACTCTTATTACCTATCACATACTTCAACACTTAATGTGGATTTATTATTTAATATATGACTTTTCTAAATTTTGATTTACTGGTTTGTACAGGTTGTTGAAAATTTCTGTTAAAATTTGTAATGCTCAACATTACAGACTGAAGGTCAATTAGGTTAAGTGAATTTCCAGTTGATAATTTAGACATATTCCTGGTTGACTACATAGATCTGATTCATACTGTAAGAAAGAAAATTATCACCAATATTGCTATGGATAACAGTAGAGTCACTCTTGCAGTCATGCTTGGTGTGTGTGTTGTTACCAATATTTACAAACATGTAGATTGTAGCTCAGTAAGATGATATTCACTCCTATCCATGATCTCCATGTCCTAATAGGAGCTGAGATGACACATTATGCCTCACTGAAAAAGATGAACATAAGCGTTTCACTGTTGCCTAAAATGAATGAAGCCACTTTAGAATAGAGTAAAAGACTACACATGAAATATTCATGGTTCTTCTTTTGTCAGCAACCAATTATTCTTCTTGAGTGTTTTTCCCCCCCTTTGGAAGTTTCAAATGAATATTCGATTCCTGCATTTTAATTGGATCAGAAAGTGTGTTTCCAGAGCAGAATAGCACTTAAGCAATCTGTTCAAACAGCTGGAAGTATCAGACATTAACTTGAGGTTTGGCACAAGAAAAAAATATTCAGCTTTTAAAAGATCTAAAAAAGGCCACTGCTTTATTTGTTGGTAGTAAAAATAGGGTCTTGTTTTCTAACGTTTCATACTAAAAAATACAATAATATGGTCAATGTTTCAGACTTTTTCCTAATGTACTCCACTTCCCCAAACCAAACAGTGTTTTCATGCATCATTTCTTTTCTGAATTTAATATTCCATTCTTAATTTGCAGAGAAAGAACATATGGTTCACTGGAAACAGTCAACAGCACGATGTTTGGCACAGGCTCTGTGTTCTGTGGTGTGTATGGGGTTGACCTGAATGAATGTGCCTTGTTTCACTTCCCTTTATTCTCTTCCTCAATTTTAACTTCTCTACCCCTCCCTCCTTCTCTTTCCCTCCCCCCACCCTCCTTCCATGTCCTCCCCTTTCCTCCCCTACCCTCCTCTTCTTTCCTCTCCCTTCTTCTCCTCACTTCTCCTCTTCCTCAACCTCCTTCTCTCTCTGTCTTTTTCTCTCTCTCATTTTTATGAGAATCATTTATTCACTTCATTATGTGACTTTGGACATCCAGCTGAGCTAAAAGTTAGGATACTTACAGAAAGAGATTGAGAAGTAGATGAAGCAGAATAGATTAGAACAATTCAGAATGGGGCTAAGTGTTATATTTTTATTTAGATGAACAGGAATAAATATCTTAATCATTTTTAAATTATCAATTATAAAATTTTTCCCAAATATTTGTGTTTCACAGGACATGTTATATTTTATTATTTATCTATTTCACCACATTACTAGATGTTGAAGTTAGAGAAAAGAAAAGCTTTGTAATAGTCTTTGAACTACTAGAGAGCATAAGATTTGCCAATGTGATAAATATAGTTTAGTAATAACTTTTTATCACTGGGCACTGTTGGCTCAACTTCTAATACTACCTATTTGGGAGGCTGAGATTGGGAGGATTGCAGTTTGAGGTCAGTTGGGTATGGTGATACATACCTCTCATCCAGCTATGGAGGGAAGCCTGAAATTGGAGGATTGTGGTCTAGGCTGGCCTGGGCAAAAAAGCGAGACCCTACTCCCAAAATAACCAGAGCAAAAGGGGCTGGAAGTATGGCTCAAGTGGTAGAGCACCTGCCTACCAAGTTCAAAGTCTTTGTTCAAACCCCAGTAGCATAAAATAATCAATCAATAAATGATTGTAATAATAGTAACATTTTATCCTACAGTAGTTTTAAATATAGAAAATTTGAAAACATAAAACACATGAGGTAACAATCATTCACAAGGAACAATCAATGTACAAATTATGATAACCTACTGCATAATCCGTGGTTTGGTGTTTCGCCGTAGTAAATTCCTGTGAGTATGTGACATCTTTCCAAATTATTATACATAGTAAATGTGAAAGGATCCAATGTGTCATGTGTTTTAAACCTTATGCAGTTCTTTTAGTTCTTTTTATGAAACAAATCATAATGTTTTTGAAATCTTCCTTTCATATTTTTTCCATTTTCTTCTCTTTCTATAAGATTTAAAAGAAAAACAAATCCACACACAAAAATAATTTAAACAAAGTTTACTGGCTATACACACAGAATTCCCTCATTATCTAAACTGCTACATTTCTATTATCAGATTTAGGTTAGCACATGACCTCCACATAAATATTCTTGGTACTTGGTAAGAGATTTTGTTACACCAGACTGAGCATTTCTCCAATACTCAACAGAACCAAGACATGTTGCCTCTTCTGAAGAGATGGTGACCTGTGAGCTGTTTTTCTTTGCACAGCCTTTTACATGGTCAGCAGCACTTTACTGGGTGTGAATGAAGAGCAGTAGAGAGCTAGCAGATACCTTTGTGATCACAGCTTCTCAGTTTCGTACTTTTTGTAGCTTACATACCGAGTTAACTGCTAAGTTGAATTTTCCCAAGGGTATGGAGTTTGAAAATGTTATTTCATTTCCATTTTCCACATCTTATTCTGATTTTCTTCCTTAGGCGCCTTCCTGATTGTGTATAGAAATAGCCTGAAATATTTCAATGTGTAACATAATTAATTTTTCTGTAAGAAAACCGTAGTATAACTCAAGAACAACGAACAAAGGGAGAGGAATCATTGATAAGTTTATTGATAATTACTTATAACCTGACATGTATAAATTAATCATAGGTTTGACAAAGATTTTTATCCTTTAATTTTTATCCTTAAAATGAACCCACAGAAACAAAATGTATGTCATATTTAGCAGATAACATAGGAGCAGTTGACTTGTTTGAATTTATACTGAAAATGCCTTTAATAAAATTTTTAACAAGTATTTCACATATTCAGCCAATATAATATATATGCATTATTGGTGTTTTTGTGTGTATGTGCACAAGGATGTACACTTTAGTATAAATTCAGGTAAGTTACCTTTAAAATTTAGATTTTGTCATAAAATCTGCTACACGTGCAATTCAATTTTTCTAGGGAAAAATTCTAAATATTAAAAAGTCAACAATTTTGATTATATAGAAAAAATAACATTTTAAATCTATGGGAAAATACAAGGTTAGGAAAATACGTGGAAGAAAAATCAAAGAATAAAGAAAATACTTACATATTATGTGAGCATACAGGTTGGGCATACCTGATCAAAAACTCTAAAATAAAAATCTCCAAAACATGAAAATAAATTTACCACTGACAGGTTGGCATAAGGGGAAAAATACAAACCATGATGGGTCACAGTCAAAATGACAGAACACTGAAACTATTGTGTAAAATTGCTTTCAGCTTATGTGTACAGGGTGTAAATGAAACATAAATTAAATTTATGTTTAGATTTGGGTCCCATTCCTAAGATACCACATTTATATATATATGCAATTACTCCAAACTATGAAAAGTCCCATTTTAAAATATTTCTGGTCCTAATCATTCCAGATAAGGGATACTTAACCTGTGCTTCAAATATCTTTCCAAGTGGGAATCACCCATATAAACCATTTGGTTCTGCACTGGTTTTGTTTCCTATGCAAATTTCCTTCAAATGGTAGAATAGGCACATATGTGGAATATATTTATTTGTTTTTATTATAATTGAAGCACCTTTTTGAAGTATTCATCTAAGCATTATGCCAGTTCAGGAGAAGAAAATAGAGCAGTGTAAGCAATGACCTTTAAGGACTATCTCCTTGTGTATAGACATCCTCGCTGTAAAGATCAAAATCTTTCATAATTCTCAGTTTCATTCAGAACAAGGACAGTGACAGGATTTTTTGCACAATCTATTGAACCTGAGGACCATTTTCCTTCTCTAAATATTGATGTAGTTTTCATCTGCTCAGTAATTTTTTATGACAATTTGTCTGTCATTAAGCGTTTTGATGTTTAAATTAGTACCATTGCCAAAGCATCCTAATTCTACCTTGGCTGATTATTTTTAGTTCTTGTAACATTTAACCACATTATTGTAGTTGATTTTTGTCTTCATGATGTTCTTGTAATTTTTTTGTGTTTAATGTTTAGATCTTCCTGGAATTATTGCCAGAGTTTGCCTGTGGATAAGTAAATTAAAAAATGTTATTTTGTATATCCTGCCTAATATCAGTTTTTATTTGCTCCATATTATGTCATGATTTTAATAATCATAATAGCTTCCGGACAGAAAAACTTCTATCATATTCTGCAATATTTTTGCTGATTTTTAATCCCCCAAATTAGCAGCATTTAAATAAGTCTAAATTCTTAGGTTTGTTAATAATGTTACTATGCAATGTGAAATTGATTAAAAACTATAGTATATACTAGTTTTAAAAGAATCAACTTGATACTAAAGTTTGTTATCCTGGTAAAATTTATGAATTGCAAATTCAAAGTAGAAATATTCCTCATTATCATTTTTCTTCTAAATATATTGAGGATTTGACTATATTACTGCTCTGTAACTTGAAATTTGGTATAATAAAATGTTATCTTATTTTCTATAAAAGAGGACATATTACTGGAAATATAAAAAGAAACAATTTATTATTATACATTTTCACCATTAGGAGCAATGTTCTGAACCAAATAAAGAATTTACTGATAAGCACACCATTGTTTTAAAAAGGGGTTTTGCAAATGTTTTCTTACTGTATTCCAGGCAAGATATGATAGTGATTTTCCATATTTCAGTAGGTTACAAGAGAATAATTAAAATTATTACAAATAGAATATGTATTGGTTCCTTAACATCTTCAAACCTTGGGTATATAACGTGTTAGTACTAAAATATTATTGTTTATACCAAAAATAGCATAACTTCTTCTGACTATCAAGTATTTACAATACTTTCTTAAATGTAATATTTGTACAGTATTTTATGTATCTTTATTGTATAAAGTTACCCTCAGATTTTAAATATATTTAAAATTTATATTTAGTTATTTTATACTTATAAAATGCTTATAATTATATATAAGTATTATATATACTTATATTTATCCAAATGGTCTCTATATCATCATTTCAATGCAAAATATTCAGTGAACTGAAAATCCATATTTCATGATACATTTGTCCCATATATTTTGAACACTTAACTAGAACCTTGGAAACATTGTTATTTTTGAATGAAAATGAGAAAATTCATTCCCATTTCAGGTATATGAAACAAACATTATTTTCCATCTTTGTCAGGGATAAAATTTATATACATATCTTAAATTCATGAAGACTCAGAACACTTATTAAAGGAAAAATAGTTTTACAGTTTGATAGTTAATCATTTTATAAATTTTTGTTATTTTATTTCAAAATTATGTTTAATTTAACCATGCAGTGCCTTTCCTTGTAAATTACTGAAAACAAATATTTGTTTTATTTTCTGTATAGACAAAGAAAACAATTAGTGAAAATGAACAATGTTTTCACTATCATTAAATGTATAATTAATTTTATGAACATGTTTCTCAGAAACATAAAAATGTAGAGGTGATTTATGTCTCCAAAGTGCTGGCCATTTTGACCTAATTTTTTTTAAATTGTTGTGCTGGATGGAAGTACATTGTGGCATTTAGGAAAGTTCTTACAATGTATCAAATATATCATATTTGAATTTACCCTTCCATCTTCCCCTCCCCCTTCCTGGAGTAGTTTCAACAGGTAACATTTTTCCATTTACAGTATTTGACCTAATATGTTCATATTTTAAAATACCATTATGAATGTAGGTTAAAACTGAAATAGCATGCATTGATAAATTAAATGATTGTTTTATCTTACCTTGAGTGTGCAAATGTGAAAAGTAAAATGAGGAAAAATGCCATTCTACTATTTGGCTTTGACTTACATTAACAATTTAGGTATCATATACCTAGATTCCTTCTTAAAAGGAGACACTTTTACATATTCACTGATTTCAAATTACTGAAACAACCTTTTAGACATCGATGTGCATGTCTAGTTATTGTTAAGGAGTCTGTCTTGTATTTTACGGCAAGAAACTTCTGCCTGGGTGCTTATGGTTCGTTCAGTAACTTAAAGAATGCTTTTACAATTATCTCATTGGCTATGTGTTTTCTTTTCTTTCTTTTTTTTTCTTTCCTTTCATTTCAGAGGCTGGAGTTAATCTGAAGAGCACCACTTCTGTCTCTCCTGAAAATAGTTGCCACTGATATTTTTACTGGATAAAATTTAAAGATATTTCAGTTCACAAGGCTAATTGTTGAACTGTTGTCCATGAAGAAATTGTCCACAGGAGCTTGGGTGGAAGTCTCTGATGCTGGCAGAATTGGCTTCATCAGACCATGTTCATCCCCTTTTAAAAACAATTTTTTTTCTTCTGGTTTACAAGTATTTTTTTTTTAAGAAGGAAAGAGACAAAAACAAACAACACAAATCTACATTGGCATCAAGTTCTGTATCAATCCATCTTACATTACCATCCATGATTTAACAGACTGTAGAATCTTGAATACTCTATATCACTTTAACAAATAAATGTTTTACTATTACAGAATTTGCTCATTGCCTTATTTGTGGAAAACCTATTGCTTTAAGTATGACAGATGAAGTAATTACCGTAAGAACTAATAATACCATTTTATATTTAGTAGTGAAAAATCCTTAAGGAATTAGAAATTGCTTTATAATATTATAGCCATTTCTTCCATGTTAGAAGTGATCCCACTTCTACAGGAGAGCAGTAGGGCCATTAAACAAACACACAGCACAGTTTTGCCTCATATGAGAAAGAAAGTGTCTGGGACCGGTGGCTCAATTGGTAGCGTGGCTCCCTCGCAAGAGCAAGGTCTGGACTACAAACACCAGTAATGAAAAAAAAAAAACAAAAACAGAAGATGATGTGTAATCTTTTCTCCTGCTGGAACTTCAGAAAGTGGACAAGACAAGCAAATTACAATTAAACCAAATTGACTCATTGATTGTTCTAGACAGGGCAAAAAAGGCTTTAACAATTTTGGGGATTCTGTGTCATTACAAATAACCATTTCTTTAATTTGGCACAATTTAAGATTAAAAAAGAACATGTATTTCCTTCAGTACAGGCATATAAACAACTGTGATATCTTTGATGGCTGAGAAATGTTATTACACATTAATTAAGCAGTATCCAAGCTGAGCATGTTAATGCTGATCTTAGTTTGATGGAGTTGTGAGCTGTGATAATGTGACAGATTATATACACAAATCTTCCAAATTGTCATAAATATTAGTGTAAAATTTGAAAATGCACATGAATTTACACTGTACTTGAGATAAAATATAAGTTTAATAAAAAATTACTAGTTTTATCAAATGAATTTAGTTTTTCTAAAACCTTAGAGGTTTTATTTCTATCACTTGACAATTATGGTAGTTATTTTTAAAAGCAATAAGCAGGATAAATTTATTTTTAAAAAATGATTAAAACTCAGAAACCTGGCATAGTATTTTTCTTAAAAGTTTTAAACTAATTTTCTCTTGGACTATTATGAGAATCTAAACATCCAAAGAGAGGTTACAGAACACCATCCACAAGAAAGGATTTAGAAGATGTGGTCAGGAGCCTGCTATACTAGAAAACATATATGCACACTCCTGGACACACACAACTCATGGTTGAGATAAAAGTACCAGATTTGAGTTGTAATTTTGTAGTTGATTTTCTTGTCTTTTCTTTTGCAAATTTCAATGCACTGGAAAAGTCCTGTTTAGTGTTTATGTACATATTCATAAACATTTGTGTTGATAAAAACGAGGTGAACAATAAACATTACCTTTCCAAATGTCTTCTTACATATAACTGATCTCTTCAAATATGTGTCAAGGATAGGAATGGCATTTCTGGATCTCCAAATTTCACTTTAAGTTCTCTTGTGAAAACCTTTTAACTTTCCCCCTATCTTCTGGGTGCTGATTCTTGCTTTTCTTGATGTTGCTACCTGCTCAGTGTTCATAGCCTGACCTGGTACCCACTTCTTCAGAATATTCATGCTATTATTTTTCATAGAACAGCAATTTTATTGTGTTAGAACTGAAATTAAAATTAATCATTTTTAAAGTTCTCACTCCATATCTCCTGCAATCAACCCCAAACTTCCATTTAAGTACACATTCAATCAAAGTACTTATTTTTTTAATGTTGTTTATTAGGAAAGGAAAGAAACAGTTATGAAGCTCACAGTATACAATAATAAATTGCATCTTACCCATGTACATTATAAAGCATATCAAACACATACAGAAGAAATCTATTTAGCAGTGTTTTGAATGCAATATTGGTTATAGTTTGTGAGGTGGAAGGGGGACTGAAAACTGTGATTCATATTTTGAAAATTTGCAATTATTTTTAAGATCCATTATAACTTGTAGAACTGCAGATGACTAATAAAATAGTATTTGGGATGAAGGTAATAGCTTACATATGAAATAAAGCTCAAATAAAGCTCAAATAATTTATTATTCATTTTATATTTAGTTTAAGAATGCTCATTAGGTTTTGTAGAGATTCCAGTCATCATTTCCATCATAAAATATCCTATTTGTATAGATGGAATGTTTTATGGCATCTTTTGGTGAGGTTTTTCAAAATGCTTTCATAAATTCTTATTATGCCTTCTTTCACACTATTTTAGTTAGTTTAGGAATTTATTCAACATTACGTACTTTGTTTTGTATACCCAAAGTATATTTATACTGACATTTCGTAGATCTAGTAATTAAATATTGTTTCCTTGTGTGTTCTTATGTGTGCATATCAATATATATGCAATAGTTTAAAATAAAAATGGTCCAAGCTATGCTATGCACAATGAAAAGTCTCTACCCCAGGAATGTTTAATATGTAAGTATAACGTATAGAAAAGCCATCTATATTAAGATTTTTAAAGCATTTTTATTATGGAAAATACATATAACATAAAATTTGACATTTTAACCATTTTTAAGTAGCTAGATCAGTGGCATTAATTACATTTACAGTGTCTTGAAATCTGCACCATCTATGTAAAAAACTTTACAAATATTAAAAAAAACAATTTTATCATCCAAACACAAACTTTACCTATGTAGCAATGATATTATAATCTCTGATCTACTTTTACTCTCTATGAATTTGCCTAATATAGCCATTTCACCCATAAATGTGATCATATAATATTTGCCCTTTTGCATTTAGTTTATATCACTCACCATAAAATTTTGAAGGTTAATCCATGTTGATGTATGCACTATTTTATTTCTGTTTATGGCTAAGTGATATTCCATTGTATGCAGACATACATGCACATATGTATAGACTATGTTTTGTTTAACCATTCATTTTTTTTAACAAAGAAATTTTTATTTGTTTATTTTCTTTCTTTTATTTTATTGTTTTTACATTTACTTTCATGTGTACACACTGTTTGGAACATCTTCTCCTTCACTTCCCCTTTCTGGGCCGAACATGTTCTACCCTCTTTGATTTTGTTGAAGAGAGAACATAGGAGATAATAAGAAGGACATAACCTTTTTGCCAGTTTGAGATAAAGATAGCTATAAGAGAGTCGTAGCGTTGCTTCCATGCACTTGTGTATTGCAACCCACATTGGTTCATCTCTACCAGACCTCTTCCCTACTTCCTGGTCACCTTCCCATAGTGGCCTCTGTCAGTTTAAGGTTACTATATTGACTCCTCTACAGTGAGCACATCAACCACTTTCAAGTTTTAGGTTTCCTTCCCTTTCCCTATTCCTCCCATATGTGTTTTCCCTTTAGTGTGTTACCCACGTCCAATAATATTTATTTTAGGTTTATAATCTGCATATGAGGGAGAACTAACGATTTTTGACCTTCTGAGCCTGGCTAACTTCTTTTAAGATAATGTTCTCCAGTTCCATCTATGTACTTGCAAATGACAAAATTTCATTCTTTGTGGCTGAGTAAAATTCCATTGTGTATAAATACCACATTTTCTTAAGGCATTGTTTGGTAGTGGGGCATCTTGATGTTTAACCATTCATTTCTGATGGACACTTGTGTTGTTTCTACCCTTTGGCCAATGGGTATCATTGGTGTACAGGTATCTGTTTGATTCTCAGTTTTCAAATCTTTAGGTCTGTATTTGGATATGGAATTTCTTTGTCATATGATAATTTTAATTCTGACTTTTTGATTTTAGATTTTTGAGGAACTTCCAGAGTAATTTTCACCATTGCTACTCCATTTTCTTCTGGTGATGTCTGATCATGTTAGGGTTCCTGTTTCCTGAACTCAACATTTGTAATGTTTAAATTTTATTCTCATTCTGATAGGTATGAAGTATAGTCACGTTACATTTAACGGTGAAGATATGTTCTGAGAAATGCTCTAGTAGGTGCATTTGTCATTGTGGTAACATCACTCTGTATACTTATACCAATAAAGACAGTAACAATGTCACTAATCAACATTACCTTAAGGGTTCAATGTCACATATGCAGTCTATTGTTACATGAAACATGGTTATGCTGTACATAATAGTATTTCATTACAGTTTAACTTCCATTTCCCAATGACTACTGATGTCAAATGTTATTTCATGTACTTAATGGGAATTCTTATATCTTCTTGGAGAAATGTCAACTCAATTTGTCTTTTTTAAAATTGCTTTCTTTTTCTTTAGTTGTTGAGTAGAGGAGACATTTATTTATTATGCATACCAGTCCTTCATCAGATGTATGATTTAGAAATATTTCTCTCATTTTGGGTGTTGTTTTCTCACATTCTTGATTATATCTTTGATAAACAAGTTTTTAAATTATTATGAAGTCTGATAATGCATTTTTACTTCTGTTGCTTGTTATTTTTGCTATATTTAAGAATCTACTGCCCAACCAAAACACTTGAAGATTTTTCCCTGAATTTTACAGTTTTAGCCCTGAGTTTTAAGTACTTGATTAATTTTGAGTAAATTGTTTCATATAGTGTGAGGAAGACACACTTTATTTTTTGGAATCTTAGCACCATCTGTTGAACACATTAATCTTTCCCCATTTGCTGGGCTAACCATCCTTGTCAAAGATCAGTTGGTCATAGAATTATGGGCTTATTTCTAGGATTTTTATTATATTCCATTAGTACATATGTCTGTCTTTGTAACAGTGCCAGTGTATTGATTACTATAGCTTTATAAGGTTTGGAAACAGGTAGTTTTTAAGTGTATCATTAAGGAAAAAAATAACAAAATGATTACAATATTTTTGTTAAAGTCTTACAACCAAAAAAAAATAAAAAGCTTTTTTGGCTACTTAAGGTACCTTGAAATTCTACATTAATTTGAAGTTTGAATTTTCTATTTCCTTACAAAAGGAATTTGTGTTGGAATTTTGGAGGGATTGCATTGAACCTGCAGAGAGCTTTGAGAAATAGCAACTTGGTGACAATTTTAGAACCTCTGATCCATAGTATAGGATGTTTTTCCATTCATTATGTTTCCTTTCATTTCTTTCAATAATGTTTTATCACTAATTAGAAACAGAGCTGATTTTGTATGTTGAC